TTCTGCCAGATGTAGTTTATCATCATGCCCAGGATGTGATATCTACAAGGAGTAAACCAAGATGTCCAAGGACTTTGTGGTTAAGAGTTGTACAGCTTTTCAAGGACATGTTGACATTATAATTGAAAGTAAAAGAAGCCAGATTGAATAAATTATTCATTTTGATATTATCTATGAATTTTATTAATATCCTTTTGTATAATAAACCTGTTTATGCATTTCAAAGGTCACAGCAATTTTGCATGTATCAATTTCATTACATGATAAATAAAGAGACAATATAAATACATTAATCTTATACACCACCCATTGCCACCCATTTGAAACAAAACTGGCAATAGATTTGTTTCATAAAACTATTATTAATTTACTAAAAATATGAAATGCTTTTGCTGAGTTTCTGTGAAATAATCTCTTAGTTTCATTTGAATTAAAAAATATTTTTGTTAAAATATGAATGAAAATGAATGCAACTCAGAAAACACAGTCATGTTCACTGAAAGCAAAACATGTAATTCAAATACACATATAAACATATTTAATATTATATATAGAAATATATATATATATATATATATATATGAAGAAATATAGTTTTAAGGTGTGCTATTTTTATGGGATAAAGTGCTCAATATCAGAGATAGAGCATATGTAAATATAAATATAAAAGTGAACATTGAAGTCAACACTCAGAGGCGACAGGCTGTTTTATGCTATATATAAATGATATATTTTATGATATATGCACAAATATACATAAGTATCAGGCGTTTGCATGAAAAATTACAGAATGAAGATTAAAATTAAAATTACTATGTATGTTACACTTTTTATTAAGTAATATGAAATTTCTTTTTTTTTACAATGATGTTCACCCTGTACAAGGCCCAAGAGGAACTCAAGTTAGAGGGTTACAGAGTAAGAGGTACAATTCATACAGATATATGGTTAACCCTAGACTTGGATGGGATAAAATTGTAGTGATAGAGAAAGGATCTACTTGGGAGTCAGTTCCACAAAGCAATCGTTTGTGAGAAGCTGCTTATGTGGAACTTACAACTCACCAATGGAATACGAAGGGAATTAGGGTGATTTTCTATGATGTGCATGCATAGCAGGTCTTAGACATGAAGGGTGACACTAAGGAATGTAGTTCACCTGAACACTTTCCATGGAAACTGCAATAGAGCAGCAAAAGTTATGTTTGTTTGGTGTTTGTTTAGCAGCATATCAACTCCTTATGGGTTATTTAATGCCAAAATTTAATTTTCTTGGGCACACTAATAATTTCTTTTGCAAAATGTATGGCTGGTATGTTTTTTTTTTTTACAAAAAATGAATTGCTGGTAATTTTGTTTCTTTTTTTTTACAAAAAATGAATTGCTGGAAATTTTTTTTTTTACAAAAATTGAATTGCTGGTAATTTTTTTTTTTTTACAAAAAATGAATTGCTGCCAATTTTTTTTTTTCTTTTACAAGAAATGAATTGCTGGTAATTTTGTTTCGTTTTTTTCAAAATTGAATTGCTGGTAATTTTTTTTTTTGTTTTTTTTTACAAAAAAATGAATTGCTGATAATTTTCTAATCTTTCTTTTTTTTTTTTTACAAAAATGTACTGCTGGTAATTTTTTTACTATGAAAATATTCATGCTATTCCTGCTATTTTTACTATAAATTTTTGTTATACTTTCATAGTGTTTTGACTCTAGTTTGAGAGTTAACTATTTGTCCATAGCTGGGACCCTAAGAGGTAATACCACTCTGGGTCAGGATGCACCTGGAAACAACAACAATTAAGAGGTTATTCCATGCTCCTCAAAAGTTCCTGATCAGAAACCTTGCTGCTGGATGTAGTTTATCATCATACCCAGGACAGAGCAACAAAAGTCGTGTGACATTTTTTCTGTGGGAAATGGTTTGTAAGGTGGAAAATCATTTTTTAGACAATCAAGAGTGGAAAATAAAGACTGGTCAGCTCCTGCCCATATATGGAGGCAGTCTTCCATTTTCAGCCTGATCTCGCTCTTGTAATGGAAAAGAATTTTTATTAGTGATTTGAAATGTTCTATAACAGTCTATAAAAATCACTCAGTTTATTAATCAAATGAGTTAAACATATTTATGAAAATGAATATGTTTAATATATAGAAATAGAAAATCAAAGATGAAAATACATAAGGATAAATTTTAGAAACTGCAAACATTGAATTCTAATCAACATAAGATAAAGACAAACATAAAATAAAAAATATATAGAAAAGTAAACAAAAAATATTACCAGAAGAACATTATAGATGATGGCTGTGTTGGGAAAATACAAATTACAATGATGGTAGAAAATGTAAATCTACAGCCTATTTTTAGGAGAAAATATAAGGTATAATGTTTAGGAAAATGTTGTGAATCTACAAAGCACAATGTTAGAATGAGACGGCAATGTAAAATGTTTGAAGAAAACGTTGGGACAATTCCAGGCAAAATTTTGGAAGGATGTTAGGAAACTACAATGCACAATTTTGGAAGAAAATGTTGGGAAAACTACAATGCATAATGGTGGAAGATGATGGGACACTACAAAAGAAATTGTTGGAATAAAATGGTGGGAGACTAGAAGGCACAATATTGAAAGATACTGAGAGAGTACAAAGCACAATGTTGGAAGAAAATCTTGTGGAACAAAAAGGCCAAATGTTTTGAGAAAATGTTGAGAAACCCCAAATTAAAATTCTAGGAGAAAACATTATCAAACTAAAATGCCCATCATTGGGAGAAAACATTGTAAAATCCCAAAGTAAAATGTGAGAAACTGTTGTGAAACAAAAAGGTTCAATATAATGAAGAACACTTTTAATGAGAGTGAAGACTAAAAAAACAGGAATTAAGGAGAGGGATGATAACAATTGGCATTGAATTAAAAATTTTGGAGATCAACCTTGATTGTGAAGCAAGAATCCGCATAAGAGTTTCACCAATTAAATGTGCAATAGAAGAAATTCTTTACATTATTCAGACTATTGTCCTCATCTTTGTCACCATATTTATTACAACATTTCAGCCGTTGTATGCTCCGGCCTTCTTCAGGAAGCTGGAATGTCAAACTGAACCCTTTATTTCGCTCACTGGAGTAGACTGTTCTAGTTCTACGCGCCATGTCTAATGGATGTCAGTTATCAGTTATCTCCTGTTAATTCCCCTCTCCAAGTTATTCACTGCCTTAACCAAGTATTGAACTCACACTCTTTGGGTCCTGTCACTGGATCTAACTAACACCTTTATCCACCTTTATTCATCTGTGTATGAATTTCTGGGTATTATAAACCAAATGTCTTCAGCTCCACTTTTACCAGTTCTCATATTGCAATTTTGCTGTTATCATACATGTTTTTACCAGAGCTCATATTGCAATTTTTGTTGTTATTATCACTTTTCTCTGGCACTCCTAATTTATACTAATTTATATTGTTTTATTAGAAACATATTCTGAAATGAATAAAACTTTAACTGTCAGTCTTGAATTTATTTTCGCCAGTGTATACAAAAGTGGACATTGAAGTCAAGACCTAGTATTGACAGTCTAATTCATGCTTATATGTAATCATCAGGCCCTGACAACTGTGTATAAGCATGAAACAGGCTGTCACCACAGAGTGTGGTCTTCAATATTCACTTTTGTATATAAATATATATGCGTGTGTGTGTGTGTGTGTATGTATTATGTATATATATATATATATATATATATATATTAGATATAATATAATTAGATATAAGATATATAATGTAAATAGTGTTCATAATACCTCATCTCAGAAATATAGACAGATACTGAAGAAATTTTTTGGTCATATCTTGCCATTTCAGCTCTAAAATGATGTGACCTTTCTTTCTGCCAATCTAGTACTGCACTTATTATCATAAAGTCTAGGTACCATATGTAAGATGAGTTGTCATTGATAGCATTTCATTGTGTAAGGAAAATTACTGCTACTTGTCATTTTCTCTTGAAGGATCTTAAAGCATATCATACTAGAATAAATACAGTTTATTTTCTTGCACTTCTGGCTCCATTCTTTCCAGCCAGCTTTAATTTGCAAAAATTTAAATGCAATGTCAATCGCTATCTACTGACCTCCCGTTTACTCTTTCCTCTTCCTGTTTATTATTAATGTTTCTGTTCCTAATTCTTCCTCAACCTGTGTCTTAGCAGTGTTACTGCTTTCCATGGGGTGATACCTGATTTAAAAGAAAAAATATAGAAAATGTATCAAAGAGGAATTTGTGGCTTAACAATATCACAGAGTTCTAAACAATGGCCAAAATGAATGTTGTTATTCCCAAAGGAATGAGTGTGAAAAGTGGTTTAAACTCTGTTCATAAATACTATTTTTGGAGTTATTAATCATTGCAGATTAAAGCAAAGGTATTTGTGGAAAGTCCTGTTTGTCTATGTCCTAAAAAGATTACACCTTTTGACACAAGTGCAGAAGAACCATCTTTGAACATAAGTAAGTATAACACTGGCTTTTTACACCTATTCAGACAACGTTGGGTTCATGCCATTAGTCTCAAATTAAATTCAAACCTATTTCACCAAATCAATTTTGGGAATTAATAATGATTACACTTCCTCACATATACCAACTTACAGGTGTAGAAAAGCAAGTTTTGGTTTGTATGAAGGATAGCTCTATTATGAATTTGGTTGCAAAAGAAATCTCAAGTTTTGTCTATAAAAATACATCAATATCCTTATTTTCCAATAGAGGATATTTCTAAAACCTTTATATTCAATATCTAGTTGGAAAAAAATATTTTTCAACATCTTCTGGAGTTTCATCACTTGCAATATAATAGCAGTACTATTCTAGATCCGTGGCATTTAATTTCTCCCTTCCCCCCCCCATCTCTTTTCCTTTTTTTGACAATTATTTAAGAGGTGTGCAGTCTGGTTTACTAGTAAGCTATGAATACAATGCAAAGCTATCAGATGGCAATCAAAAATGTCCAATCCTGAAAGACCATTCTATATTTGGAAGGAACCAATTACATTTCTGTCCAGCATGTGAACATAAAATATCTGGGCTCCCAAAACTGGGTAACATATATTCCTTTGTCTAGACTCTTTTCTCTATTATTAATCGATGTGTAGTAACCAACATTTACAATATTGCTCGTCTAATTTTTCTTGACTGCAACTAAGTTATGGTAATCAAGAATTTTTCTTACTTCTTTTCTTCTTGCATTTTATTAGTTTTCTTCTCTTCTCCTGTATCCCTTCTTCTTTAATTCTCCTTTTCTTTCATTCTTTTGTTATTTTTCTTCTTTATTCATCTTCTTTCATTATTCTTATCTTTTTTCATTTTTATCTTTTTTCATTCTTTTTATATTCTTCTCGTTCTCTCTTCTTCATTCATTCTTCTTTTTCACCTCTTTTCATTCTTCTTCTTCTTCACCTATTTTCATTCTTCTACTTATCTTTTCATTCATCTTCTTTCATTCTTCTTTTTCTTCTTTTTTCAATCTTTTTCTTTCATTCTTCTATTTGTTTTTTCATTCTGCTTCTATTTTCATTCTTTTTTCAGTCTTCTTTTATTTCTCTTTTCAATTTTTCTTTCATTTTCTGTTTCCTTTTTCATTCTTCTTTTTGTTATCTTTTTATTATTCTTCTTTCATTTTTCTTTTTCTCTTTTCATTTTCTTCTTTCATTCTGCTTCTCTTTTCATTCTTCTCTTTCTTATCTTTTCATTATTCTTCTTTCATTTTTCTTTTTCTTCTCTCTTAATACTTTTTCATTCATTCTTCTATTTCTTCTTTCATTCTGCTTCTCTTTTCATTCTTCTTCTTATCTTTCATTCATCTTCTTTTATTCTTCTTTTTCTTCTCTTCTCATTCTTTTTCTTTCATTCTTTTATTTCCTTTTCATTCTTCTTCTTTCATTCTCTTTTCATTCTTCTGCTTCTTCTTTCATTCTGTTTCTCTTTTCATTCTTTTTTTTATTATTCTTCTTTCATTCTTCTTTTTCTTCATTTTCATTCTTTTTCTTTCATTCTCCTAGTTCTTCTTTCATTCTCCTTCTCTTTTCATTCTTTTTATCTTTTCATTACTCTTCTTTCATTCTTTTTCTTTTTTCATTCTTTTTCTTTCAATTTTTCTATTTCTTCTTTTCTTTTCATTCTTCTTCTCATCTTTTGATTCTTCTTCTTTCCTTTTTCTATTTCTTCTTTCATTCTCCTTCTCTTCTCATTCTTCTTATTTTTTCATTAATCTTCTTTCATTCTTCTTTTTCTTCTCTTTTCATTCTTCTTCTTTTTTCATTCTTCTAAAATATTCTATTTCTCACACCACTTACTTTTATTTTCCTTTCTTCATGTAGCCTTCTTAACTTCTTTTTCCTTTATTATTAATAATCATTTTCTCTTTTTATACACCCATCTTTTTCTTTCTCTTTTTCTTTTACCATTTTCTTCATATGCTTTTTTTTTAAAAACAGGATTAAGTTAGTCTCTGGCATCAAATTTTAATTGTAGACTGCTAGGGAAAGCACCCTGTTCAATATTCCATCAATTCTCTTCCTGTTGGCTCCATCAAATTTCGATCCTGGCAACAGTCTTCTTGTATGTATGCAAAATGTTTTACATTCATTTCTGATATTCTTCGAACTGATTCTGGCTTTCTGCTATTTGGCTTGGGAACAAGATTAAAAAGGAAAAAAAAAATAATTCCAATTTCTTCCCCATTTTATTAAATTATTTTTTTTTAGTTATTTACATACACATCTGTTCATTTCTGTTAGTGAATATCAAGTTGCACAGAACTACACAAACACACAGACAGACACAACCATTATACATGACATCACCACACACTATTTAAAACTCCCTGTTTTCTAAAGAATACCAGGATGTAGACATAGGAATTCTGTCTACCACACAGAAACCACATTGGTTCTTGAAAATGACTGAGATGGTTGAAAGTACTTGGATGAAAGAATAATATAACATGAACATTTCACATTTTATCCAGAATCTCAAGCACAATACTGATTACTTTATTCAAAAACTGGAAAAATACAATAAAAAATTAAACAGACTTTGTTGATTCTTTGTAATCAAACTTGTTTTGGAGGAATATTTACTGCCTAGATATATCTTGTTCAAACATATGCATACATAATTACAAATAAAGTTGTAATATCCCAGATTTGCATGGAAACTTCATATGCTTTTTGTTCACAAATGATGAAATAATGAACTTCAAAGAATATGCAGTGACGCCCATAACAAAAGTTTTATTTTAATGTCAAACAATAATACAAAAGAACACCAAAAAATATTTAACATAGAACAAAATTATTAGCCCTCTTGCCTCCATAAACAATTGTTTAAACTTTAGTCTTCCTTATTGCCTTTAATCATATTTAATAGTTCCTTAAAAGATCATGACGCACACTGATAAGTATTTTGCTCCATTCTTTCTTGGCAAGAGCTTCTAGTTCTTCCAATCTTAAAGGATTTCATTCTTTTATTTTTTTTTTCAAAAATGTCCATAAATTTTCAAGATTTTGCATCAGATATACCAATACCTTAATTTTGCAGTCATCTAAGTATTTTATAACAATTTGAGCAATGTGTTTCCAGTCATTGTCATATTTGAATGTCTGGTGATGCCCCAAAGACAGCGTTCGTGCACTTTGTTTTATATTATTTTAAAGAATAACCAAATATTGTTCTTTATCCATCATACCCTGTACTCTCACTAGTTCTCCTGGTCCAGAAGCAGCAAAACATCACCAGAGCAGAATGTTTCTACAACTGTAGTATATTTTTTGGTTTAGGTGTTCATGTGACCAAATAATTCTAGTTTGGTTTCATCTGACCATAAAACAGTGTTCCAATGCTTAATCTCATGCTCTAGATGGCTTCTAGCATAAGATGATCTTCATTATAGGTGTTTAGTCTTAAGCAAGTGAGTTTGCCTTGGGCAACAATCTCAAAGTCCTAATTGATGAAAGCATCTAGTAACTGTCTTTGTCAATACATTCAACCCTGATGTCTTTACATCATTGACAAAGTCCATTGTCATGAAGTGAGGATTCTTCAAGACATCTCTAATAATTTTCCTTTTCATTCTCTCAGAAATTAACTGTTTTCTGCCACTCCTTAATTTATTCTAAACACAATGAGTCTCATTGTACTTCTTGAAAATGCTATGAATTGTTGATTTAAGAACATTTAAACACTTTGAAAGTGTTGTATATGCATCCCTTTGTTTGTACACATCAACTATCTTTGTTCAGGGCTTCTTGTTAAGTTCAACCATCTTCACCATGGTTGCAGAATGAATGAGATCTTGTGGTACATGGTACACATATATTGTCTATGAATATAACAGATCAAAAGTTCTAAAAATTTAATGAATTATTTAAAACTAAATATGGAATCAACTGTTTATGGTAAATTCACTAATTACTTGCAAATATTCATATTTCCTTAGAAAATATGCATATATTCAGTGGGGGGATAATAATTCTGTCCAATACTGTACATGCATATATATATATATATATATATATATATATATATATATATATATATATATATATGAATATATATATTCATACATGTTTCATTAAATAATATAGACAAGTGTTGTCTATTTATTTTATGTCTAAATAGACAACACTTGACTATATTATTTAATGAAACATGTATGAATGAAAAAATGCTGCCTAAATACACACAATATATATATATATTATGGCTGGCTACCTCCATTTTGTATATTTTGCATAAAATAAATGCTTTTTTCATCATTAGACTATGGAGTTATTAGGATACCTCTATATGAGAGTAAGGATGTGTGGGTAGTGTGTGCAATATTGTCATGGAAAGAGGAAATGGCAAACCAAGGTCAAATTCCAGTCATGTCTGTTATGTTCCCTTTCACACTAATACCCTTTAAAAAGGCATGAATCTGTCTCTTCTCCACCACCAGCTTTGGGTCAAATAGAAGGGTAGACTGATTTCTCTAACTTTGATTGGCAATCACTTTAAGAGAAAGAAAACTTGGAATTCCAAGCCATGGAGAAGGCAACGGGAAACCACTCCCCTATCTTTACCAGGAATGCATAGCAGTTCACAAATAATAAAATAAAAGAACCTGTGGGAAGTCATAACCAACTTCTTCGTCCTGAAAGGACTTGGCATTTTAAAAGAATATATATGAAGGTGGATAAATAATTCCATAAACTGGCAATGTTATAAACTAAATTCTGATAAAAAATTTTCACTGTATAATGTTTGTTTTTTATTATTAATGTAAAGTCAACTATATTGTCAGTTATACTGATGATATTGAAAAATATTTGTTGTTTAAAACGGATGCTATTTTTCGTTGTTAGGCTACGGACTTATTTATACCCTTACATACACTCACTGGCAGCATACATGAAATAAATGCACATAGAAAATGTATGTACATCCACTTAGTTCCACAGTTTAAAAACATTGGATATGTCTCTGTCACAATCACATGCCTACTTCTTATCAGATAACCGAGAAAGTTTGTGCAATTTTGAGAAATAATAGGAAAAGATGTAAAAAGAGAAATGAAAAAAGCATGCAGGGAAGATTTAATCAGGAAAATCTTTTTCATTGGTGCTTCAGAATTTTTCCTCCAATCAAATACAAGCTTATAAATAACCGTTTTTGTAAAACTCTCTAGTCTTTGAAACAATGAAGCTTTAAGTCTTATTTCAAGTATTCCCTTTTTATGAGTTACTTTATTTGACACAGATATATCGAGTGACAAATATAGACAATTATCAGATGTTTTTCAGTAACAAAGTAACTAATTGCATCTTCTAGTAATATATTTTTCAAAGACTGTTCAACTTCTGTTCCTAGATGAAAACCCACATCAGCACCATTTTGTTCTCAGTTATTCACCCATTATTTTATGATACTTATATGTATTCAATATCAACTGTTTGCTTGAGTTTCAGGAAGTCTTAAAAAATATTAGCAGCAAACTGCCTTCATACAGATAGAAAAATGAATTAAGTTAATATACAAAATAGAAAGGGATGTAAGGCAAGGATGTGTTTTCTCATTAGATGTACTCAACCTATAAAGTGGCTCTGAGAGAATTAGATGTGCTAGCAGAATTCATTATTGGTGGTCACAATATAACAACATAAGATATGCAGATGACACAGTGTTGGTAGCAGATGCAGTAAGAAAAATATGACAACTCCTACAGAAGGTAGTTAAGGAAAGACTAAATATCAATTGCAAGAAAGCAGAATGCATGATTGTTAACAAAAGGAACAATCCAACAAATTGGTGGTACCAAAACAAGTACAACAATTTTAATATTTTAGAATTGTTTTATCAGAGGACAGAAAATGCAACACAACTGAAATCTGAAGACACATTGGCATGGTGAAAGATGTCTTCCAAATATTAAAAAAGTATAAAGAAATATAAAAATTTCATTAGAAACAAAGAAAAGACTACTGAATTGTCATGTAATATCAGTCCTTCTATATGGCAGTGAATGTTGGACAATCTTTTTAAAGATGAAAAAAAGTCTTGAGGCAAGAAAAATGTGGTTCTACAGAAGGATGTGGATAATATCATGGACTGAACAAGTAAGCAATAACAAAGTTTTAGAGGAAATGGAAAGAAAAAGAATACTTAGAATAAGAAAGAGGCAGTTGAAATTTCTAGGGTACATAACAAGGGAAGAAGGCTTGTAAAATTTGATTTTAACATGACATATTGAAGGTTAGAGAGAGGAAAACTGTGTGAAACTTGCCTAACAAGCTTGTATAAATGGATAGCAGGACAGAGTTTAGGAGAGATAAAAAAAAATAAAATGTAATATCAGTCCTCCTATATGGCAGTGAATGCTGGACAATCTCCTTACGGATGAAGAAGAGATATGAAGCAACCAAAACATGATTCTACAGAAGGAAGCTGAGAATATTATAAACTGAACATGTGAAGTCTTAGAGAAAATGAAAACAAAAAAGACACTTATACTTCCCATCAGAAAAAGATAGTTCAAATTTATAGAACACATAATGAAGAAAGAGGGCTTGGAAAATGTGATACACAGCATATTGAAACCTTGCAAGTCAATGAATGGTGGAAAGAGTTTAGGAGAGGTGATAAAAGGACAGGCTTTATTAAGAGCCTCAAATGATAGTAAATTGTGGGGAGCCATGATAATAGGCTGGGAAAGATTTTTTCTTTTTAGTAATGATCAACTAATACAAGGCTCAAGAGCCACTCAAAACAGATTATTACTGTATGAGTTA